AATAATATCCTTCCTAAGTTGCAGTCTGGATTCCGAAAAAAGCACAGCACTACCACTGCGCTTATAGCGGTCGTAGATGATATATTGACCGCACAGGCGAGTGGGGAAGGTACAATTTTAACGCTTCTTGATTTCTCACGCGCGTTTGAAACCCTAAATATTCCATTACTTCTGTCCAAATTATATTTTTATGGAATTAGTAGAAGCGCAACTCATTGGTTTGCCAGTTACTTTGAAAATAGGTCGCAACGGGTTGAAATGCACTCAAATGGAAGGGACAAAAGTATCTCTGGAGAGCGACTTGTAGACCGAGGTGTACCACAGGGATCCATCTTAGGTCCATTACTTTTTATAATATATAGTGCAGATCTTATTAAAAATATTGAGTTTTGTAAGTATCACATGTACGCTGACGATTTACAGATATATATTTCATTTAAGCCTCGTGATGTTCACTCAGCTGTAGCAAAGTTAAATTTGGACTTAAGTCGGATATCTTTGTGGTCAGAGCGTAATGCACTAGTTCTCAATCCGAAGAAATCTCAGTATATGATTCTAGGATCGCCAAATCAAATAAAGAAGATCATACTAAGTCACCCTGCCATTACCGTAAACAACGAATCCATTGTAAGAGTGGCGGAAGTCAGAAATTTGGGGGTAATAATGGACGACAAGCTGCGTTTTGAGAAGCATATTATGGGTATTGCACGTAACTGCTTTTACAGGTTGAAAGTACTCTATCGTATTCGTGATTACCTAAGTGTTTTCTTACGTATCAATCTATGCGAATCTCTCGTTCTCTCAAAATTCAATTACGCGGATTCCCTCTTAGGCCCACGTCTGTTATCACGAACAAGGCAAATAATACAAAGGGTACAGAACGCCTGTGCACGTTTCTGTTTTAATATACCTCCACGTGCACATGTAACGCCTTTTATCAATAACGCAAATATCCTAAAGATGGACCTCCGCAGACGACTACACTTCGCCTCACTTTTATTTGGAACTATTAGAAACAAAGAGCCGTTATATCTTTACAATAAGTTGATTTGGGCTAAAGATCAAAATGAGATGTATAATACGAGATCATCTAATTATAAATTAGTTTATCCCTTCTACCGTTCGGCCGCTTTTAGAGGCAGTTTCAAATACAATGCCACTAAGTGCTGGAACAACCTCCCGCCTCCCTTGCGCGACCTGAAAACAATAACTGGTTTTAAAAACAAGTACAAATTGTATCTACTTCTAGAACAAAAAAATGCTGCCGTTTAATTCTAATTCTTATCAGCTTAATTATACGCTAAAATATAATATAATAAAATACAATGTAATATGATTTGATACAATATAATTTAATATAATATATATACATTATATTTTTTTTATAAACATATATCATAATTTATATACTTATAAGACACTCATTTTCTTACCTTTATCATGTGGCCAACGCGCAACGAGGTCTGTCTCGCGTTTTACGTTTCAAATTAAGTCACGTGTCCACTGCTCGATCGGTAAATGTCACAGTGCTACAGAGTAGGGATAAATATTGGTAACCTAAAACCAAAATGGAAATAAAGCAGCTGACACCAATATCAAATAAGATAACATTAGTTCTAATTTTTTACTTACCTCTTCAGACAAATGATATCCACTGTCTATATAATTGAAAGGTTCAAACAAAAATAATTTAATTATCGCTATACTGCGTTGTAGGTATGTATTACGAGCGCACTGACGCAGCCGTCCGAGTTGTCTCGAAGTGCGGGCGGACTGAAAACCGGCGTCGGGATCAGAACGAATCTTAGTTACTGTATCTCGACTTTAACCGAGTCCCGTCCGTTTCACGGTCTTATGCTGCTACACAGACCTTCACTTATTATTATTATTATTTTTAGTTTTTTTGTTATGTTTACATTTATTTTAAGTTATTCTAATATTATTTTATATAATGTGTAGTTACATTATTATTTTTAAGTGCTCTATGTATCTATTTGTGCTTAGACCGTGAATAAACGTTTCTTCTTCTTCTTCTTCTTCTTCTAAAATACAAATACAAAAATATGTATTATAAATGAACTTTGACATGGTAGGACCACGCAACAGTATTCACTGTTGCACGAATGGGCAGGTCCGTCTGTGTAATTCCCACGACCTCAAAGACGACCGGCGTAAAGTAGAAATGTTACACTTCTACGTTTCGTCTGGTGTGTGAGGTAGCCGGGGCTCACTTTATCAAAAGGTGGCAACACATCTGAAACCCTACGAGTGTTACAACTGTTTATGGGCGGCGGTTATCACTTAACATCAGGTGAACCGCCGGCTTGTTTACCACTTTCTCACATTAAATAAAATTAATAGAAGTGATGTAAAATATTGATTTAATCGGGGCTCGTGTTTTCATTTGTTGATTAAAGTAAGATGTTTGTAACTATTAATTTAATTTATTAAAATTATCTAGAACACTACACCCTAAACATAGACACCGCCAAAGACTACTGTTGTATACTGCAAATGTAGTGGATATTTATTTTTCAAGTCAAAATTTTCAGAAACGGAATCAAACAAACCAATAACGGTTTGTAAAGTTCTCTCCGTAAATGTAGTTTATGTCAAGTGCCGCTTGTGCCACATTGGTGCCACAACGGAACTCATATTCCGCTATTAAACACTCCATAATCCATTATGACGAAAAATGTTCAAATGTAATAAAAATACAAAACTAATCAAACAAAAGACTGATTTTGTTTTGAATTTCATATTTAAAAAAAATTATATTTGAATTTGGAGAATTTTTTAAAGACCTGACTAACCTGACTAAACGGTTCTTCGATAGAGCCGAACATCATCCCAACCCTCTGGTGATAAGCGCAGCAAATTACCAACCCGACACAAACACGATCGTCAACAAGCGTCGCCCGCGAAACGGCCTCATCGGTCGAGGAAGGAGACTTAGATACGTCGGGCCCACCGTCGGTGGCCCCGCCGGATAACACTACACCCACAGCTAGTGTAACAACAAACACAATAGTTCGCCCTCGCCTCCGAGCACGGCGAGACCAACACAACGCGTACACAAGGTACACCCGCGTTCCAGAGCGGTTCTTACCGCCCCCTGCCACCATTTAGCTAAAAACACAGTCGACGGCCATCGGGGTCTTGGTCCGCACCGCAACCTCGATGGCCCTTAGATGGCATGCCGTAGTTAAACGCACGCATGAGCATATGCGCGGCCCACAGCGGAGGGCCCAAACCCGTGGCTTCTGGCTAGCCTACCGGTTCTGCGTCAGATGAAGCTTTAATAGTCTCGGGACTGAAAGCACAAACATCAGTTAATACAAGATACAACTACTGAAGAACGGCAATTTTATAGGTAACACCAGTTATATTAATGAGCTGGGCCGTTGTATAAGAAAGTCTAAAAGATCAACGTCAAGCCTCGGTCAAATTTCGGGAAACCTTGCCCTCCAAATTTTATACGTCGAGCTACCAAAATACGTCTAGTACATTCTTCAGTATTTTTCATTTTTCTCTACATCTGCCACGAGGACAAACGAATCAATTTTACATAAGAAATTATCTAAAAGCCGAAAAGGTCAACTAACTTTCTTCAACAAAAGTTTCGTCAACTTCTGTGGACATAAATAATTCGCTCACATATGAGGAGAATTAGTTGAGCAGATGCTGGGGAAGAGCTCAAGGGGCCAAATTCCAACACGATAACGTAAAGGTATTGTATTGTATTGTAGCGTAATGTCATAACAGTTGATAGTTCACATTGCAACTCTTGTGAATTCACGATGCAATTAATGCAAGTAATGCATGATGCAAAATAATTGAATGTACTTATTGAATTTATAACAATTTATCCCGGGTTGACAGGGAAATTACGAAGAGCGATGATCGCCCTTGGCAATCATTGTTTAAGGTAATCACAATAAGATAGAAATAGATAAAAAAAATTCACAGGTTGTCACTCCATCTAGTGGGGGAGGGGGGATTGTCTCACACAATCTGTGGATGGTGGACTCAAACAGGCTGAAGTGATGATGATAAAAAATTGGAAAAGAGGGTGATACTGTCAGCCATCAACTGTGCAATTACTAACTTAACTTACTAAACTTTATGTGAAAGTTGACAAGCGAACAGGCGGTTCACCTGATGTTAAGTGAATACCGCCACCCATGGACATCTGCTACACCCAAAGGGTTACAGAAGCGTTGGCAACCCTTTGGAAATTGGGCTCCGGCTACATCACTCACCAGACGAAACGCAAAAATATTTGTCGTACTTCCACTTTACGCCGGTCCCATATGAGGTCGTGGTACCGGGTACTTACCCGGATGAGCCTGCCCATTCGTGCAACAACCGAGGCTCCTGCGTGGTAATTTATATGTGTAAACTGTATTAATAAATGTATTTACTGTTTATAATAAGTGTCTAAAAAAGTTTAAATACTTGTTAAATTCATTATTCGAGTTAAATACACCACAGTAAACTATATAAATGGTCGACTATTTACAATGAATTGATTTTTCCCCAAGTCGTTAGCTTTGCTTATAACTGGCCTATAACTTTTGCGGCTGTTCCCTCATATATATTTGTCCTCCTTAATTCTACATTCCTTCGGCTAGCAGTAAGTGCAAATTGTAGACAGATTTTTTGTAAAAAGTAATTTCTGTAATTGAAAATAATAATTTTAGAACCTTACTTATGTTAAGCAACACAATTAAATACATTAATGTTTGCTTCAGCAGGAATTAAAGACGCTCTCATGACATTTACAATAAAAATAGGAATATTGTATTTTCTTGATGTTTTATTAATTAATTTGTTGTCTTGTCATTATGTTGCAGTTCTCATTGTCATTGCCACTGTGATTTGACGTTGATGTCAAATTGTCAACTTTCAATTGACATATTTTTTTTTCGCATCGCATATATGTAATTGAATTAAACGCCGAAATAAATAACTTTGAATTTTAGTTGCGGATTGTAAAAATGTTAAGAAATTCAATTCGATACCTACGACAAGGTCGCCATTTATGTAACGGAATAATTTACAGGTAAAGGATGCAAATAAATAAATTAACACAAATTTTGGAAGAGTAAAAAAATCATTAATACTTAATAAATTTTTTTACGTTCTATATACAGGCATATTCATGCTAAACAATTTAGCGGACTATCTTATACATTAGTATCGAGAAATCGAAAAGAAGGAACAATCATTAGCACTTGTCAGTGTAGATCAATGTTTATTCAGACTCAAGATACACCAAATCCAAACAGTTTAAAGTTTTTGCCTGGCACGAAAGTTCTGGAACCAGGACAGACCCTTGATTTTCCAAACATAGGGTCAGCGCAGTGCAGTCCATTAGGTAACATAAAAATTTGTATATTTTTTTATCTATATATGCTTGTCTTTGTATTTTCAATTATTGTTTATATTTATTATAAAATTTTAAGATAATTTAATATTGTTGATAAAATATTTGTTGCAGCTAAAATGATTTTCCGCATTGAAGGTGTCAAAGCTGTATTTTTTGGTCCCGATTTTATAACGGTGACAAAACAAGATGATAATATTGAATGGAAATTACTAAAACCTGAAATATTCGCTACAATAATGGACTTTTTTGCCAGTGGCCTACCAATTGTTACAGATGCTAAACCTTCAGGAGATACTCGTATGTTAATATTTTTTTAAAACTATTCAATTATTTTGAGGTACAAAAAAAGCCAAAGCAAAATTGATCATTAAATAAACATATTATAAAATGTGGTTAAGTTTAACTGCCGTTACTTTGTAGTGTCGTAAAATATAAAACAAAATCTACTTATTAAACATGTTAACCTCAGAAGGAAGAGGGTTAAATTTGTAAATGTGCTCATAATGTCTTTCGTATATGAAATGATTGTTTAAATCATTTCTTATATGTACCACAGATACTAAATGAGACAAGTTTACTGATTTTATTGCATTTGAATAGAGTAAACACAAACAACCTAATTATTGCACAGAAATAAATGAAGATGATGATGAAATTGTACAAATGATAAAGGAACTACTTGACACTCGTATAAGACCAACTGTGCAAGAAGATGGTGGAGATGTCCTATTTGTAGATTTCAAAGATGGTGTATTAAGACTCAAAATGCAGGGGTCATGCTCATCATGTCCAAGTTCCATCGTGACTTTGAAAAACGGAGTGAGTATTTTTCCATTATTATAGTATAAACCTTAATAAATCCTCTTGTTTTCTTATATTGTTTTTATGCCAAATAAAGAAGAAAGCTGCAATAGTGAGGTATGCTACAAATAGTTTGGGGCTAGTATTTGTATTAATATTGGAAATAAGAAAATTTTGGTTGCCACATTTGAAAAGAACATTGGGCAAAATTTTACATCTTTTAATTAATTTCTTTAACATGTGGTTGCTAGATTTACTTTAATCTATGGCCGAGCACTAGAGATAAATCTCAGTGTGGTAATTGTTTACTGTAATGGGGTAATAGGTGAAGTACAAAAGCCACAGCCAATGTTATTAAAAAAAACTAAATGACTATTTTAGTATAAAAATTTAGAACAGGAAAATTATAACTAATTCTTCTAACACTATATAATGAAAATAAGTCCAGTTGATTTGAGTACCATATATAGAACAAACAAAACACCAATTTGGATAGAAAATTACACATTCACCAATGTCTTTAATGCTGAATGGCCAACGGGAAATGGGAAACTTTGATGACTCCGTGGCGCAGTGGTAAAGGTATTGGCTTCGGCGTCGGGAGTCGTGGGTTCGATTCCCACACGGGAAAACTATTTGTGTGACCCACAGATAGTTGTTTCGCATCTGGGTGTTTGTCCGCAAGAAATGTACGTTTGTAAAACATCCTTACAACACAGGATAAAGTTACCCTAAAGTAAGGGCTATGTTTTTTTTAAAATAAGGAAAAAAAAACAAAAAACTTTCACAGAATGCAGAACTTTCACAGCATTTTGAAGATGTATTTAACGTTTCATGTATGGTTTCGTTCCTTTCGTTGGAGGTACATGACATTCAAATCCTCCTGGAGAAATTCCAAAACATTTCTATGGCTGCTAGGCCTCATACAATGAATATGGGACCCAAGAGTTTCTTTAAGACCTCTTCGTCGTAGGATTGCATTGTTCTTTTTTTTTTTTTTTTTGTAAAGTTCACGTTTAGTCTCAATGATAGAGGGTGCATTTAATTATTTATTATTTACGAAACAGCTGATGGTATTAAAAAAACCAAATTACTTAAAATTATTTTATTATAAAAAATTAAATATTAGGTCCTTACATATGAAATTGGCGTTTTGTACGGGAAGAATATAAAGTCATTTTTTTTTGTAAAATATTAATCAAAGTATGCACCTTTATCTATGCAGTTTTGCCATCTCATAGGTAGTTCATTGATCCCTTTACTAAAAAGCCATGGGGGCGAGAATAAATAAACTCTTTGAAGGCGGTTTGGACTGCCGCATCGGAGTTGAATTTTTTTCCTTGTAAGAAGTTGTCCAAATTCCGGAAAAAATGATAATCTGTTGGAGCAAGGTCCAGGGAGTACGGTGGATGTCGCAGTCATTCTAATTGTAGCTAATCTAACTTAGTGGTTATTTGTTGTGCAGTGTGTTGTCTTGCGTTGTCGTGAAGCAGCAGTGGCCTAGAGCGATAGATCAATGTCGGTTGTTTAGCAGCTAGTTCTTCCTTCATGGTTTGCAGTTGCTGACTATAGATATCTGCCGTAATCAGTTGTACATATTGTAGAAAGCTGTAGTGAACGACACCGACGCTAGTCCACTAAACACTCACAAGTAACTTTTTCTGAGTCAATTTTCGTTTAGGGTATGATTTGGCTTGGTCTCCAGGGTTCAGACATTGCGACGAACGCTTCCGATTATCGTAGACTATTCACTTTTCATCACAATTAATGAATCGATTTAAAATCCCTTCATTATTGTATCGGTTGAGCAAAGTAACACAGCAGTCGACGCGTGTTTGCTAATTCGATTCACTCAATTTCTGAGGTACCCATCGTTCAAGTATTTTACTTTCCCGATTTGCTTCAAGTGGATTAATACAGTTTTATCACTTATCCCCGAAGCCTGCAGCTATCTCTGAAGTGCTTTGTGATGGATCCGTTTCCACAATAGCCTTTAATCCTTCATTTTCCATTTTGGTTTCCGGCCATCCACGGGGTTGGTTCTGAAGGTCGAAATTTCCAGAACGAAAACGTTGAAACCAAATACGTACCGTGCTTTCTTGTGCGACACCAGCACCTTACACATCATTAATCCTACGAGCTGTTTCTGCAGCACTGGTGCCACGATAAAACTCGTACTCGTAAATATACCGATATTTCATGTTTTCCATTGTGCGGTAATAAGCGACGCCAAAGAATAAAATAATGAGGAGAAAGGAAATTAATAAGTGTTTTCAAAACTCAAATGAACCAGCTAAATGAATTTATAAATTTGAATTTGGAATTCTTAACCAAAGAGTAGATATTTCTGATCAAATTGGTCAGTACGACCAAACTCTAATTTCATAAATGTACCTGTGTATAACCTAATAGTAAAGATATAACTAAATACCGTAAATAAAATAACGAAACTCCAATTTGGATATTCGCCAATGACGTCAATGCTAAATTGAAATTGGTATTTGGTAATTCCATCAATAGGGGAAATGCAAAGCTGCAGTTCTAGTCAGCAGCTCCGCTATATACTAGGCATGTAACATGCCCGTACAAATATTTTTAATCGATATAGAAACTATAATAACGAAGTAAAAACATACGTGTTTCGATTATGTTTCTTCATCAACTAATAATTTTTAGTCGATAGCGAAACATAATTGAAATAACAGACTACTACTAGGTATTGTAAAAAAATACTGTCAACGCTTTTATTTATTTTTAGTTATTTAAATTTTCTTTTTTTTTTTAGATTACTTAGTACTTGTTCAGTGCAATATCTTAGCACCAGTCATTTTTGGTTTAACCTCACATTAGTATGGCAGTTTTGGAAATAAAAAGATAAAAAAATAAGCTACACCGTTTTATGTTCTAATTTTATATTACTTATATAATAAATGAAGTTAACACTTCTTATACTATTTTTCAGGTACAAAATATGATGCAATTTTATATACCTGAAGTTTTAGCTGTTGAACAAATCGATGATGAAGGTGAAAAACTTAGTGAAAAAATATTCAAAGAATTTGAACAGCTGAAAACAAAAGAAAACGAGTAGGATGTTAACAATTTAATTAAAAATGAATGAATATATAAAAATTAGGAATATGTACATTTTGTTTTGTATAGTGGTAAATAAATAATTATTTATAAGGAATAAACTTTTGTTATTACCTTGAAGATAGTTTTTATTTACCCTTTTCGCTGACAATGAAGTTTTAACATGTATATTAACATAAAAAGATCTATTTATTATTATCAACCTGGAATAAGTCAATGAAAAGAAGAAAAAATATTATTGGTTTGTGGTATTGTGGCATGTGGTTTGCTGTTAGCCCGAGCAGGCTTTGACAGCTTCGGCGGAAGAGGTCCGCAGGTCAGTCTGCTCCGCTGCACTCCACAACACCATGCTAACGAAAGATGGACAATTGACACGATCCAAGGCCCCTCAGATGGAGGTTCGAACCTCGGCTTGGATCGCTAGGTTGAAATTGCGAATTCGTCACAAGACGTACCGGCGCCGCACTATCGTTTACGAATGAATAATCATACTTTTAAAGTTCGACGCCTCTTAAAGAAGATGGGCAGACGAGAAGAACGAAGACGTCTTTCATTATTCAACGAGAGGTATTTAATAGTTTGGGGAAAAAGTTTTTTCGCATTTTATATGAAAATTCAAAACATTAAAATATGTAGAAAAAGTACAAAAAGATTGCCGCCGCTGTGGAAATCGAACCCACGTCTTCGGCATTCGTGGCTGGACGCTTTAACCATTAAGCTAAACGGCTGATTGCCACACCGGCGAAAATCTTAACTTCTTTAATCTTCATTGGTTTTTAACATTTGCAGCAATGCTTGGCGCATCCATTGTTATATCCTTTCCAGCATACAAACAATTTCGAATATCATTTTACAACGATAATTCGAACGAGAGATGTCGCCATTGCTTTTTATACATTTAAATTGTTTATAGTGCTAATCTTTGCACTTAAGATTGAACATTAAAATATTAAGAAAAAGTACGAAAAGATTGTCGCCGCTGTGGGAATCGAACCCACGTCTTCGGCATTCGCGGCCTGACGCTTTAACCACTAAGCTAAATGGTTGAGCTGATTGCCACACCGATGGTCCTGCCCAGCGGTAACATTTCATAATGAATAATGCCCTTCCAATCCCACCATACACACAGCATTACCTTGTTGCGAGGTTTTGCCAGAGTTTGTGAAGCCTGACCAGCCTTTGACCACGACTTTTTTCGCACGTTCTTGTCGTACGTGATCCACTTTTCATCACCAGTTATCAGGTTTTCGGTTTCATTACGTCGTAATAAAGAATCACAAATGAGTACACGGTTTATTAGGTTTCTTTCAGTGAGCTCATGAGGCACCCAAATATCGAGCTTTTTTGTGTACCCAGCTTTTTTCAAATGCGCCAAAACTGTTTTGTGGTCAATTTCCAGTTCTTCAGCTACATCGAAACTACTGATATGCCGATCTTGCTCCACTTTTTCAAACATGGCATCCATTTTATCCGTAACAGGACGCCCAGAGCGAGCTGCATCTTTGACATCAAAATTTCCGGATTGAAAGCTCTTAAACCAAATTTGTGCAACTCTCACAGACACTGCACTAGGTCCATTAATATCAAAAATTATTTCGCGGCTTGCGTTGCATTTTTACCTTTTTAGTGGTAAAAATTTTAAATGTATCGAATTTCTTCATTAGAATCACTCATCTTAACAGTAAGAAAAACAAATGAAAATCACACATTTTCCTAATTTGAATTTGGAATTATCTTTTTTAAAATTTAAACTTTTTAATGATACCAAAACCAGCCAGATACAAATGGTATATATAGCCAAAGAAATTATATTATTTAATTATATAATTATATTATTATAAGTACATACATATTATTTGCGAAAAGACTTTTTCCCCAACCTAATATGTATGTAAGATAAGATGGAGAATCTCGATCGTTTAAAATGGAAAAACAGGGGTAATCAAAATTCTAGAGCTACGCCTTTGTTGTATAAGACTAGTAGTAGAGGTAATAGTAAGACGTATGCGATAATTGCTCATAATACGATCATATTTCCAAAGACTGAAAATGAATCTGCTCCAGTTGTTGTAACGACACTCTAGCTTATTAAGGAGTACTTTGTTTACGTCTCGTTAACACATCTATATAATAATAATAATATCGGACACATCTTTTACACAACGTTCTCTAGTCCCAAACTATACAAAGCTTGTACTATGGGTACTAGATAAACTGATAAACATACTTAAACATACTTTTCTTTTGTAAATAAATATATATTATACATATATAAACACCCAGACACTGGAAAAACACCGTGTTCATCAACGATATTTTTTCCAGTAGTGGGAATCGAACCCACACCCTTTGGCGCAAGAGGCAGGGTCACTACTCCCCACGCCAATCGGGTCGTCGACTCTATATAACTACATAATTATCGAGCGAAAAATATCGATATATCATCATTTTTTCTGTGAATATTTATACATATTGTCATACCATTCAAATTCGTAAAAAATAATAAACATGCAGAAAAGAGTTTTTAAAGTAATGATGTGAGAGGAGTACGAAAAGTATACAGCGTGTCTTTACCATCGCGACAAAAAATGAACACATATATAGAGGACTTTTTAAAATTGTATTAAACTTACTTAACTTTTACTTTCTTTAAACATCAATATTTACAGAGTTATTAAATTTTCCAAAACAAAGAATTTTAGAATAGCCCTTACGTATAAAACTGTAACGTAAAGTTCATTTGTAAAGGTCACAAAGCATATCAATGGGTTGAATGAATTTAAAAGAGACAAAACATACTGTTAGAAGGAGAGACTTGTAATGCGACGCTGTGGCAACGAATGAAAAGATGAAATGATACAAATTTTGTTTCTTTTTTACTTAATTAGTTTGTTTGAAAAATATTTTTTTTTTAATTATGGATTTTATTTAACGTTAATATTTTTTTATGATTATTGGAAAGTAGCGTTAGATGTGTGTTCATTTATTGTCGCAATAGTAACGACACGCTGTACCATATTACTACCACCATTTACGATTATTTTACCACATTACTATTACCATTAATCACGAAATCAGAGTTGCGTTAAAATATATCGAAATTGAAACAAATTCGATACGTAGTCTAAAATAAACAGAATATCGATATATCAACATTTTTATATATCGACATGTTTGCCCATCCTTTATTTAGGGATATGCAAGTAAAAAATATATCGACATTTTAAAAAACTATCGATCATTGTCGAGTGAAAAATATCGTAATTTTTTTTAAGTTTTGTTTTATTATTTATATTTCCAAATCATTAAAAATTCGTGAAAACGAATGAACATGAAGAAAAAAGTAATATTTATTACTAATCGACTCAATCACATACAATTTATTCGAACCAATAATCACCTGATATGGACATCAGGAGCACGTTCTATTTGTCTAGCTACCGTCTGACTCTATGATCACTCACATGAGGTATGTTTTTCTTATTAATTTAATTTTGATTGCTACTTCCTTTTTATTATTTATTTATTTTTATTTCCTTCATGTACATCCTACCCATCAACAATTCCTTTTGGTAAATTTCGGAGGTTGCCTAGAAGAACTTGCTGTGTAGCAATAAGGCCGCCTTTTGATGATCAATATTTAATAAACATTTTGTTTTTGTACTTTATTATTTTAATTTTTTGGTGTATAATAAATTATATTGTTATTATTATTACTTTCTGTTTTATGTGGTATTGTTGGGTACTGTCAGATTCACAGCTGAAGCAACTCTTTCTGAAGACACCGAAGAAGCCTGGCAAATTAGATACTAAAAGCCGACTTTTGAATTTCACTACTTTTAAGGTGTTTTTTTTTTTGTAAATTTATTAATTTGTAATTGTATAAAATTGTAAAATATTAATCAGCTAGACGCTTTGAAATCATTGAATGTCGCAGCGTTAAATAAAATCTTGCATAGACATAAGTATCCCGCTAAATAGTTTAGACTTTCGTTGACTGTCCAACTACGAATTCTCAAGTTCTTTGGACACATTTCTAGAAAGGAAGATTCTATGGAGAGACTTGTCATTCAAGGCCGTGTAGAAGGCTAAAGACCTCGAGGTCAAGCCCCCACGCGCAGGATTGACCTCATCACCAGCACAACGAAAGCCATCGCAAATTTCTACATGTTCAATTTTTTTCTTCCTTTTGGTAACTGTTTTGACATGTTGAAAAAAAAAACTGAAAATTGTTAATTGTTTGTTAAGTTCAGGGTCATATACGTCTCATACTGATGGTTTAATACTATATGCTATTAGTATTTTCATGGTATTGGCTTAAAGGTCTTGTTACCAGACAATATAATCTTTACTTAAAAAAAAGAGGGTTATCGCGCACGCTGCACGCATCTAGTAGCACTAAAGTCATTAAACACCAAATTAGAGTTAAGTTAAAAAATATATCGAAATTGACATGAATTCGATATTCGTAAATAAATATCGAATATCGATATATCGGGAATAAAAATATCGATGATATATATATCGATATTTATTTGGAAAAATATCGATATATTTGCCCATGCCTATTTTATTGAAATTTATTGTCCCGGCTGAGCGTTCACGACACACGAGCCCATTACCATTTTTTTTGTAAATATTATTATATTTCTTTCAGAAATTGGAAAGGTAATTAATGAAACACAAGTAATTGAGTCATTTCATGTTGAATTTGATTTTTGTGTAATGTTTTGGGAATAATATTTAAAAAACCAACACATAAACATTTGATTGTATTAGCAAAAAGTATTTCTGACGTACCCTATAGACGTACAACGTAACCACTTAGATTCATGTTATTAATTTTTAAAAGCTCCTTTAGCATATTTTTTAATCCCGCGAAAAACGCGCGGTATAATGTTAATTTATTTTTAAGCTCAATTTTTGCAAAGGCACCATGGCGGATCAAAATAAGGGTCGGGGACGAGGCTTAGCCCTACTTCAGGCGTTAAAAAAAGCTCAAATGGTTGATTCGTCGCCAACTCCTGATAGTACTTCGTCAGAGGATTCTCCAGGTCCTAGTGTGGCGCAAAGTGTGGTGAGGCAAAATTTTTATTAAATAAAATAGTCTAACACTACTACTAAATAATAATTGTAATTGTTAATACAGAAGTATAATAAAGCAAAATAATATTTAAAGCATAAAATAAATTAAATATAAAGCATAAAAAATATTTAAAAGCTATTAAAAGGTTTACCTTCAAATAATCCATTTAAACTCATTTATGTTACTGCTTATTAATGTGAATCCAAGAAGTATAAATTGTAAGATCATTCTTATGTTTCCGATCCAATCTTGTGAGCTAGGAATACTCAAATTTATATATTCTAATAAACTTACTTTATTTTTTGAAAATTTAAGTACCTAATGTATTATTCTAAATTATGGTTAATTGATTTTTCTTAAATACTGTTGATCTTGATAGTGTTAGGCAATTAATTATGTGATATTATTGCAGGTCAGTACATCTGCTGGTCCAACATCAACAACTATAGGCGGAAGGGGAAGAGTTGCTGCAATGATGCTAGCAAAAATGCAGCATAAGCCTATAGATAAGAGTAAAATAATACTAATATATATTCTTCTTAAATTATTTTAAATTAAATTTCACACAAAATGATTCAACTGTTTTCTCAAAATTTCTTTTCTTATTTTAATCTCATATCTTAGCTAAAAGTCTGTCACTTTGTTATGTTTTTAGATATTTTAAAGTAAAGATATCTAATTGTAAAATGTTACAGTATTTTGTTTAACAAAAAAAAATTGTTCCATTGCAGACCCTACATTTTTACCTGCTGCAGACATGAGCCCTAAACCATTAACCTCAGGTGGTGCAGGCAGAGGAATAAAGCTATTACAAAATTTGTAAGTTTTACAATTTTATTACATATATAAAATGTGATAATTTATTATATTAGGCTGGACTTCATAGATAAACTTATACTAGCAATATGTATTGCCATATATGATTATTAGTTTCAGAATAAATATTTGTTTTTATGTATAATGCAGTATATTTTCGACTATTATTTGTGATTTTAACTGTTTGATTTCCATAGATTTCCACTGCCCATTGTTACATTACTAACCTTAAAAAAACTTTACCTCGCTTACCTCATTCACCAGATGAAAAACAACTTAATTAATTTAAACCAAGACTGCTTACAATTAAGCTTGATATGAGTTTAGTTTGTGTTAAGCTTAAACTGTTTGTTGAAATTTCTAGAAAATCTCAGATGGCTCAGAAACAGTCACCAGTTGGAGTTGAAGAAGTTAAGCAAGTAACAGATAAAATGGCAGAAAGTACAATTTCTTCAGTACAATCTACATCAGTTGCAAAGAATAAGTATTTTGTATGTTTATTTCTAAGCACTTTTTTGATCTGAATCATTATTCTATCATTTTAGAATATTGGTATGACAATATACATAAGAATGTAAAATTTGCTGGATGTACATGACAGAATTATTTGTTTTTACTTTTTATACATTAATGAAAATTATTTCCTTTGCAGAGAGAAGTGAAGAACACACCACCTGTTGTAAAAATGGGTGAATTTGGGACTAAATGTGATGTTACCGCAAACTTTATCTACCTCAACTTTGAAGAGAACAATGTATTTGAGTATGAAGTGAAGTTTGAACCAGACCAAGACTATAAGCATCTGCGTTTTAAACTACTTAATGGTATTATCTGAATTTAACTTGATTTTTTTTTCATTAACTAATTTATATTTACAGCATATGTTAAGTTATTAATTGTATGCAGCCTAAATATTGTATGTCCCTCTTCTGAGATAAAGAGCTCTTTTGTACATGGGGCACATAGAGCCTTGTAAATGCAGAAATGGATTTTAAGATTTTCAGTTCTCTCTGTTTATTCTCATCTCCAAGCAAGTTTAAATTGGCACTGGCATTTTAATAAATATATATTTTTAAGATGCATTCTTACACAACATTCTATAGTCCCAAACTAAGCAACACTTGTACTACGGATACTACATAATTGATAAACATACTTAAATATACTTTTATTTTGTAAATAAATACATATTGTACATAAACACTCCATCCACATGCTATGTTGTTGAATATAGTTTTGTTGGCACGTAATGTACAACTGTAATATTTCCAAAAATATTTCCAGAACACAACAAGTACTTTAAGGAGAAAACTTTTGACGGAACTACTCTATATGTTCCACACATGTTGCCAGAAGAAGCAACAAAATTAGTCTCTACCAATCCTTTTGACAATAGCAGTGTTCATATTTCTGTAAGTAATTTGTTTGGGTATATTTAATTGTAATCTTTGCAAAGATCAGATTTCCAATTCATAAATATTTAAAAGTCTATTAAATTAATCTGATATGGACTGATGTCTAGAAATGGTTTCCATTGATCTTTAAAACTAATTTGTATCAATAAATTTTCTGTCAATATTTCTAACAACCAAATATGTTTAAAATAATGTGAGATATGAATTCGGTTTTGAATTCGCATTATCGCAACAATAATAATTTAGCATCAACATGCATAACAAATTAAGCATTTTATTCCACTCATTTACTGGTTCATATCCAATACTAGGCTTGAGTGTAACCTTGAGGGTTGTCTTTTAATAATGTATTTTTACTATAACAGCTATGGGCTGTAGTTCCAAGTACATGTGTACAATGAGAATTAGTGATGTATAATATAATATTAACGCACAGTGTTTTATTATTTTTTGTTGAATTAAATTTATACCTTTTAAATTTCTAGACCATGAATTTTGTAATTTAGAGTAATTTCATGTATATATTGTTCATCTTTTAAAAATAAATCATCGTATTTAGTTTAGTTTTATGCATTACTGCTAGTCTATGTATATTTATTATTGCCTAGACTAGCTCTGAGTCTGGATGCTTGCTTTTGTTCAATTCCCGGTGCCAGTATAAAATTAAATTGTTTGTTTCAATTTCATGTACTGACTTATCTCACATGCTCAACAGTGAAGTAAATCGTGAGGGAATTAGCATATTAGACATATATAGGCTGTTACTCTACTTTTTAGAGAAGTTTGAAGAAACTTGTTCAACTATAATTGATAAGGCATGATTTTTTTTTATGTGAAAAGTTGCCAAACAAGCAGACGGTTCACCTGATGTTAAATTAATACCGGTGCCCATGGACATCTGCTACACCCGTGGGTTTGCAGATGCGTTGACAACCTTTTTGTAAATTGGGCTCTGGCCACCTCACTCACCAGACGAAACGCGAAAGTATCATACTTCCACTTTACGCCGGTCTTTTGTGAGGTCTTGGTACTTACCCGGACGAGCTTGCCCATTCGTGCAACAGCCGAGGCTGCTGCGTGGCCATACCAGCGTAATTGATTGCTAGATTATTTGAGTTCTTGTTTTAGATATGTTTTAGACTTTTTTGCGTTCCTTCATCTTAATATAGCATAACTCAAGAATGGCTGGACCATTTCGGCTAATTAATTTTTTTGTATTTACCTTAAGGTCCATGGGCAGCATGGAAGATTTAAATACATTAAAAAAAAATTGAACGAAGTCTGTCCGGGCAGCTAGTAATAAATAAATAAATAAGTAAATAAATATATAAATTTTAGGTTTCCATTTATGTTTTGGACGGATTTCTTACGAGACAATTTATCCATCCGCAGATCATATTCAGAAGGACACGCCAACTCAGCGAGATGATACACATATACAACGTCCTATTTAAGCACATAATGAAGGACCTCCAATTGGTGCGCTTCGGTCGACAACATTTTAATGAACGGAGCGCAATTCAAATACCACAGCATAAACTGGAAGTTTGGCCTGGGTGGGTAAATGAGATTATATCTTGGACTATTTATTTTCGGCTTACTTATAATTTTTTTTTGGTATGGTAGGGTTTGTCAATGCCAAGCTGCTCCAGAAGCCAAAATTATTTCTAAAAATATTATTTCATTCATGAAGTTTCTTCGTCACTATTCGCTGTTTTACTAGGCAATGATATTAATTTAATATACAGGGAGATTTTTGAGAAGTGCCCAAATTTACACAGGAGGTTCAAACTCGCTATAATCGTTTATTGAAATAAAAAACAAATTATTTTTTAACAAAAAAAAGATGTCATTCTATTCCCTAAAAAACAGAACGTGTCGAAAATGCGGTAGTCATTCATAAATTCCTAAATTTTACTATACACGAACTTGTGTGCGTGTTAGTTATGAACGATCATGCGTAAAATAAATGAGTTGCGTATAAATCGCGCTCATTTTGAGATAATTTCAAATGTTAATTACTTAAGAGTGAGTTTAAATATTTATATTTTTTATATAACATAATTTATGTCTAGAATTTAATAAAAAAAAATGGATACACTTAGAAAAGCCACCCGTATAATAATAATATGTAAATAATAATTTAATATGTATGTGGTGGCACAGTCGCTATTGGCTTCGGAACCGGGGGTCTTGGGTACAATTCCTATACGGGGCAAGTATTTATGTGACTCACAAATAACACTAGTTTACATCATTTCAATTTGTGTCTGTTGCGGCGAACATCATAATTGATATTGTTTAATTAAAACATTAGTACGACTATGGTAAGACCGCGCAGCAGTCTTCGCTTTCGCACGAATGGGCAGGACCGTTCTGGTTAGTACCACGACATCACAGAAGACCGGCGTAAAGTGGACGTGTGATACTTCCGCCTTACGTCTGGTGAGTGAGGTAGCCGGGGCACACTTTATTAAAATGTTGGCCGCCCATGGGTGTTGCAAATACCCATGGGCGGCGGTCATCACTTAGCAGCAGGTGAACCGCTAGCCCGTTTGCCACCTTCTCACATAAAAAAAAATATTTTCTAATCTTTTTAAGTGCTAATCTCTGAACTTAAAATGAAACATTAAAATTAAAAAGTACTCACGTCTTCGTTTTCTGAGCGCGAAGCCCAAAGACGTGTGTTCGATTCCCACAGCGTCGAGATACTTCGTACTTTTTCCTACAAATTTAAAATTTTCAAATTTACTTGTTGTGGAAATTACTTATTTGTACTTACTGTTTGCTACATAAGTACAAAGCCTACTGAAACAGGAGTTTCTCCTACAAGATTTGATAAATTATATTATTTGCTGCTAAATAATCGTGTTTTAAATTCTAGAAATTATTTTAAAAGTTACAATTTCTGTAACCGGATTTAACTTTGAATTTGTACCAGGCACAAAGTCCCTTCTAATAATATTAAAATGAAAAAAAAAAAAAAAAAACATGGCTTTTCATATATGATACCTACAAATAACTTTAAGTATCGCAGAAATAATTGTAAATGATAAAAACGTTTCCAGTTTTTGATACAATAGTCTATGGAACTTTTGCATCCCATTGCTTAAACTGGTATAATAAAATGACCATTATTATTTTATAAAATATTAAATTAATACTAGACTTCAAACCCGTGAAAGTGTTGTAAATGAAACTGTTTTACAGATTCATCGCGTTTATTTTTAATAACAGATCTGTCCGTCCGACCATGAACGCTGTAAAGGGTTCGAAACGTCTGGAATGAAAACTGGAAACAGACGCGATGGATCCGTAAAAATAGTTTCATTAATAATGTGTAATCGCCAAGAAGTTATAGTGAAAGTGCCCATTAACGTGTATATTTTTTTTAGCTATGTGACAGCGGTGGATGAATACGAGGGTGGTTTGATGTTGACCCTCGACTCGACACATCGTGTGCTCCGAACACAGAGTGTTCTATCATTCATTAAGGAAACCGTGCAGACCGAGGGGGCGAATTGGAAGCGAGCCATGTCCGACAGACTGATCGGCTGCTCCGTTATGACAACGTACAATAAGAAATTGTTTCGGTGAGTTCCTAATTCCGATCACTTGTTACGGAAATAGCAATCTAAAGGGGGCGTAAACGTTAACCCTGTCTTTTATATACAGTTGCTGGAACTGCAAAACATTAGAAACAAAAAATCATAAGTCACACATTCAGCAAAAATACGATAATATAAAACGTTTGATGTTACGCTATTTAGTTTTATACAAATTTTGTTTATGCTTTAAGTTGTGTGAATATTGTGAAATAACTGTGTTAGAATTAAGCCATTATCAAGTTAAACACTTTTACATGACGCACTTTCAACGCCAAACGTATAAAACGTTTGGCGTTGAAAGTGCGTCATTCTGGTGCGCTCTTCTTTGATGTCGTAAAAGCATTTGACATATTCTGGCTTAACAGCTTGCTTAACAAGCTGATCATGACAAATAGACTCGTTACATTACATGTGAGCCTTTCTGTCGATATCGAGTAGAGGGCACTTGAGAGCCGCCAACACAAGGCGGGTGCTCCTCAAGGATCTGGCCTCTCCCCTGTCCTTTTATTCTACAAGAGCGACGAGCGACATCCCTATTCTAACAAGTCGATCTAGCGTTTTTCGCAGACGACACAAACCTCTTCTATTCGGATGAATTTATTGGCCGATTAACTCCACTCGATTAACACGCCTCCAAAGTGCCGCCGATCTTTCGGTGATTGGTTTCGCAAATTGAGGATCGACGTTAACCTGGATAAGAGCGTACACGTACGTACGCATACACTTTTCTCGTAGTAATACCACACAATCAAACCTGGGCTCACCAGAACAGGGAGCTAGAGCGAATCATCTTCAATCAGGACAAGGTGAACATGATGAAAAATAAGGCGAGAATTATGCTAATCCTTATTTGGTAAACGCAGAAAATTACCAACGGAACCCCAACAGTACAGCGACCGTTCGGAGAATTCAACCACGTCATATCGTAAACAACTTGGTGAGTTTGAGCAATGGGTCAAAAGTATTCCAAACTCACCGTAGCTCCTGCTCAACAATACTACACACATAATGCTAAGAACACATAAGATACAGAATAGTAATTAGTCAGTCCTCGCCTGCGAACAGCGTGAAACGAACAACATCGTGTACACAAGGTACACCCGTTTTGCTCAGTGGGTAGAGCATCGAACGTGTGCCGAAAACCTTGTTGTCCTACGAGCTATGCGCTTAATGAATCTTTATAATCAATTCACTGAAAGCGAGAACATTTCAATTGCGTTTTTTTATTTTGTAATGGCAATAATACATATTATGAAATATTGTTTCTTTTAGGGTGGACAGCATAGACGATTCTATGAATCCTCGCTCCACATTTGAAAAGACTGAAAATGGCCAACCTGTGAAGATAAGCTTCGTGGATTACTACAAGAAGAATTATGGCATTGATATTATGGATTGGGACCAACCACTACTTATATCAAGGTAAAAGCATCAGTTACTTATAAACATACTATAGTAAATGTTTAAATGTATAGCACTGGCTGGAAATGTTCATTGTGAAAATTCTTTATTTTTAAATTCAATTTCTTTTTTCAACTTCAAAATTCTAAAGGCCTGTCAAATGCTACCTGGCACTTCCATGTCGAGCTAGGAATGGGTTGGTTGTGATTTCTTGTCTTGTTATTTATTATAAGTTCTCATGTTAATAGAAGATGTAAACTTTGGTTTAAAGACTTGAAAATTTTATGTTAAAGCTCTCTATTGAGGATTTGTTTGCATGAAAGATATTAAGTCAATTACCTAATATTATATTAAAAACTTAACAATTGGTCAGCAACATAAGATTCTTTGACGAAATAATGATGCAATGTTTACAAGTAAATACTACTTTTTACTGTGCCGGGATGCCTATGTCGAGCAGTGGACGTAAACATGCTGAAATTTTTACAGACCATAATCCCTCCTCATGTTTAATTACGCGCGATCGAACTATAAAATTAATAATGACGCAATACTTGATCGCAGTGATGTCCATATAAATTTATCGAAATAATTGATAATCATTTAGACTATAGCACAAACCTGTGCTATGTGATTATTGAAGGCTTATTTTGAGACAAGCCAACATTCAATTCACGAGCCTTACGCCCGGTTTCTGAAACACTGATCATTGTAGATGTCAACTAATCAGTTGTCAAATGGCTTTTCAAATATCATTTGAGTTGCCAAAAGGATGGTTAATGTTAGTAAAATGGAACGTAACCAAATTAGTTTTTTTTTGTACGCCTATGGCGCCTCTCTCTTGTATTAGCTGTTAGGTTGTAACCGCGTTTTCTAATCGGAATAAAACACCTTTATAATTAAAAGTACATTTAATTTCATATCACAACTACACAAATATTCCTTTATGGTAGCAGAGCGTGGTTCAGAAGTGGTACAGTTGGTGAAATATTAAGAAAGTAAAAAAACTTCAATCAGAAAATTGTCGTTGCAATTTGAATTAGAGGTTAGGAAAACATACACAGTTTACAGTTGAAAATTACATATTTTTGGTGAAATCCCGCAAGATGGGCTCAAATATGTTTAATTTAGAGAAACTGGTTGGAAGAGAAAACTTCGCGACATGGAAGTTCAGCATGAAAACGTATTTAGAAAATGAAGACCTATGGTGCTGTGTCGAACGTCCCGATGATAAACTTGTAGATGCAAGTAAAGACGTGAAAACGAAGTCAAAGCTGATATTGTTGTTGGATCCACATAATTACGTACATGTTCAGGAATGCAAAACTGCGAAACAACTATGGGAAAATTTATAAAGGGCTTTTGATGACAACGGCGTAACTAGGAATCCTCCTAGTTACGCCGTTGTCATCAAAAGCCCTTTATAAATGTAGTATTATTCAGATCTTTAAGTAGACCTGTATAGGTCTACTTAAAGATCTGAATAATACTACATTGGAGTCGAGTAACAGCGTCGAAGACTATAAGAAAAACATACAAGAAATTAATACATCAAAGTCAACAGCTTTCTACATAAACACTAAGAAAACAAGAAATAGTGTGCAGCCAGTGAAATCAAAGGGACATAGATGCTTCAATTGTAATAAAAGTGGTCATTTTGCTAGGCATTGTAAACAAGCAAAGAAATAATCTCCAAGAATGTCTTAATGATCCGAATGATGTCTTAATGATCATTCGGATCATAAAGACATTCTGGTCAATTCAGACGACAACAATTAAGACAACAACTGATTAGTTGACATCTACGATGATCAGTGTTTCAGAAACCGGGCCTTAAAATACGTTATTGTAAAATTTCAAATATTTTAATTAAAATTCGAATATCTTTATCTTTATTCAATATAGATTTTTTTCTTTGTATCCGTTATGCCCATGTTTAAACATAATCAAAAAAACATAATTCGGCCAACAGGGACACGAAGCGAATGCCGGGCGCGGAGCAGCCCACCGACTTCATGATATGCCTCGTGCCGGAGCTGTGCCAGCTCACCGGCCTCACGGACGACCAGCGCAGCAACTTCCGCCTCATGAAGGACGTCGCCACATACACGCGGATCACGCCCAACCAGCGCCACGCCGCCTTCAAGAAGGTGCCCACTCTATTTATCTATCCCCTCGTTTATTATATTTCCGCTTTGTTCAACTATGTCCTTCAACATCACTAAGAATTCCACTTCTTAGCTAATTAATTACTTACCTTTTTTCTCCCGCTTAATTCCTTTTAACAATTTTTGGGGCGTCACAACACTAACGCCCGGTTTCTGAGACGCTGATTATCGTGGAAGTTAACTAATCAGCTGTCAAATGGCTTTTGTAATGTTATTTAAGTTGCCAAAAGGATCGTTAAACACTGAATTGATCAGAATGATCTTCTTAATGATCAAAATGATCAATTCAAAGAGTCTACGAGTATCCTTTTGGCAACTCAAATGACATTTGAAAAGCCATTTAACAGCTGATTAGTTAACATCTATGATGATCAGTGTTTTAGAACCCGGGCGTAACTCAATTGTAGCCTTTCTATGAATTTACTTTCTCGCTTAGATTTTTCTTTTGTTAGTATTTAGAGGAAATTTTGCATATCATTTTACACAATCACGGCTAAGCTTCTCGCTATTTAAGTCGACAAATGACATTTCGCAATAAAGAGTTTCTTGTAAATATATAGAAGACATGCTTTTCATTAAAGATCAATCGGGTTATTAACAATTCTCTGTACCTCCTATTTACAGAGTTTCGTAAACTTTAGAAATCATGGAAACTGAATTAATTATTTCGAACGATAGTGTTATATTAATTAACATCGAAAAAAAATAATGTTATATTTTTTACTTGCCGTAGCTTCGGCAAACATTTTCTTACCAAATAAATGGGGCCTTTACCCAGCCAGCAGCGGCGCGTGGCCCGTCACTTTACCACTTAACCGACGCAGCGTCTAACCGAATCGCCCCCGTTTGCAGTACATCCGGAGCGTGCTGGAGAACGAGACCGCGCGCGGCCGCCTCGCCGGCTGGGGGCTGAGCATCGCGCCGGAGACGGTGTCGCTGTGCGCGCGCACGCTGCCGCCGGAGACGCTCTACTTCGGCGGCGACGTGCGCGTGCCGGGGCGGCCGGGCGCCGACTGGGGCGCGGACGCCACTCGCAACCCGGTCATGCAGGCGGTCGACGTGCTCCGCTGGGTGGTGCTCTTCACGGACAGGGACAAGAACGTCGCGACGGTCGGTTTTTATGCGCCGCTTGTCTATGGTCTACGCGTCGCGTCGTAACGGGACGATATTGTCCTATGGCGTGTCGCGTCGCCGCGGGGCGGTGTTCTTCGTGGTGTGTTGCGTCGTCACGGAGTGTTGTGTCAGCATGGGACGATATTGTCTATAGGCGTGTCGCGTCGCCACAAGACGATATTGTCTGTTGTCCGGTTTCTATATTCAACGAATAGCCGTTAAATACATAGCTTCGTAACTTTCATAACGAATTGTAAATTAAAGGAACGCCTAGTAACTCACTTTCCGTAGGTATTGCAACGGCTCGTAAGACAAACAGTCGTTTGTTAAATATAGGAACCGGGCATATAGCGTGTCGTGTCGCCGGCGCATGGAAGTAGCGATGGTTTTCTTTTCCGTGGAAGATCAATTATTCGCCGGACGTTGGTGGGTTTGGTTTCCGTGTATGTGTGATGTATCAAAGCCGATCATTGAATACTTTGGGACTAAATATACTTCCTATATAACGCAATGCCGTTATAGTCCAGTTAGGAATTTATAAATCAATAAAAAAAGGACATCACAAAGACAAAGTCATCAATTACGACTTTGTTTTATACTATGTAGTGGAATAATCACTACATAGTATAAAACAAAGTCGCCCCGCTGTCTGTCTGTCCCTATGTATGCTTAGATCTTTAAAACTACGTAACGGATCTTGATGCGGTTTTTTTTACTAGATAGAGTGATTCAAGAGGAAGGTTTATATGTATAATATATTGCACACATGCGAAGCCAGGGTGGGTCGCTAGTACTTCCATAAATGTTATAACACAGTATTTTTAATACAGTTATAACATGAGCTTATAATAAAAATGTATATGTATAGTTACAATGAGAAGATATTAATAATAGCATCAGTTCACAGCGGACAACCCTAAAGACAAAACTCGAAATGCAGGCCTTAATATTCGAGAAAAAAAAACTAAAAAAGCTAAACAATCGCATCCGTTCCAGGACTTCGTGGACACTATGAAGCGGTGCTGTGGGCCGATGGGCATTAATGTGAACAGCCCCGAGATGGTGAGGCTGCCTAACGACCGCACCGACTCCTACGTGGCCGCCCTAAGGAAGACCATCTCCTCACGGCTGCAGCTGGTCGTGGCAATTTGCCCCACGATGAGGGACGACAGATACGCCGCGATAAAGAAGATATGCTGCGTCGACTTACCCATACCGTCGCAGGTGGATGGTTTGTTTTACCGTATGTGTATTTTGAAGCTGCAATTCATACCTCCGAGCGACTGGACAATCGCTTTTAATTAAAAATACACAAGCTTGTCGACACCAATGTAATTGTTGGTTAATTTTAAGTGCTGACTTATCACATGCTCAGCTGTGAAGAAAACGTGAGGGTAACATTGTTATTTCCAAATAATAACAGAATAAATTCGAAGATGTGTGGAGTCTGCCAATCCGCAGTGGGGTCGCGTGGTGGACTATGTCCTAATACCCTATGTACAGAGGAGGCCTTTGCCCAGCAGCCGATCATAAAGTAACACTTAACTCTTTACTTACTAATGGGTATCACCATTCACTAGGGCAGAAATTAAAATATGTGTTTTAATTCATTTACTTCTTGCTGTACTCCTGTATGGGCCTAAACTTTTTGTCCATCCATGCATAAAGTTGATAAAAATCATGTATTTTTTTTCTAACGCAATTAAAATAATGGGATTTTTTAAAGTTATAAATAATAATTATAGCTTAATTAAATCTTATATTCCGCAGGTGATAAACGCGCGAACGATCATGAACAGCCAGAAACTCCGCTCGATCACGCAGAAAATTTTACTCCAGATCAATTGTAAACTGGGCGGAACTCTGTGGAACATTGGGATGCCTATGAAGACGGCAATGATTATTGGCATCGACTCCTACCATGATGCGAGCAGAAAGAAGCGAAGTGTATGCTGTAAGTTACAATTTTATGATAATAATATTTTACGTTGCTAAGATTACTAATTTCTCTAAAAAAAAAAAAAAAAATTCACGGCAGCTTTGTCTTGTGACTCGCCGCTAATAAAGTGATGGGAATTTAAAAACTTACTAACAGCGATAAAATACGTCCATAAAATTTTTTTTTTTTTTTTGCCGTGTTTAGTGTAATGTTTAATTAACCAAGCGTTTTGTATTGCAGCCTTTGTAGCGTCGTACAATCAATCGATGACGCATTGGTATTCGAAGGCGGTATTCCAAGAGAAGGGGCAGGAGATAGTCGACGGCCTAAAGTCGTGCTTAGTAGATTCTCTGAAGCACTATCTGCAAGTTAACGGCAGGCTGCCGGACAGAATCATTATTTATAGGTTAGTTTTTAACACTTATCTCCTTGAGTTAAAATTTTGTTGGATTCAGAGCTGAATGATATTCTTTGAATGTTCTTTGTAAAGTGTTGTATGCTGTAAAGGATGCACAGTATGACGCGCAACTTTACTAAAAATGCAATAGAAAGAATGAATAGAAAGAAAGTTGCCATTGCTTTTTTTATTGTTATAAGTAGTCTCCGTTCCTCTTTCACTGAGAAGTATTCAATCGAACCACTGAGAAAAGCACTGAGCCAATTTTTACTTACAGGTCCACACACCCCATCTTCAGGCATCATAAAGCGAATACTATTCTTTGTTATAAAATATAATTATTAAAGTTAATGTCGAATATTTTGCAAGACAACAGTCAAACAGCAGTTAACATACCGGTTTGCAGTAACTTTTCTTCCATCTTCCAGCAGAACTGTTTTTTTTTTATGTGAACTAGCTCGGTTACAAAATAACTTGCATTATAGAGATGGTGTCGGCGATGGGCAGCTGAAACTCCTACAGCAGTACGAAATACCGCAGATGCAGATTTGCTTCTCAATAGTCAGCACAATGTACAAGCCGAGTCTCACCTACATTGTGGTGCAGAAGCGAATAAACACCAGGATTTTCTTGAAATCGGACAAAGGATTCGAAAATCCTGCTCCGGGCACAGTTCTTGATCATACGATTACGAGGCGAGACTGGTACGTAAACATATTTTGTCATTCTCATTTAATTTTCTTTTAGCCTAAATAACCTTGTTGGAAATTTCTCTGTGCACCTACCTAATTTTCTCTGTACCACCCCAAGGTTGACTGGGAGATAATGCTTGTAGCATTAAGTCCGCCTGTACTATTTGTGCATAAAGGATAAATAAATAACCTTGATTCTTGTTATAGTTATGCGTTTATCATAATACTGTCTGTCATTTTCTTTGTCAGCACTATTTTATATCATTTTATATCTCTCAATTGCACATTTACTCCATGTTTTATTTCTGCTGATGTCACAATCATCATCTCATGTTTTCAGAAGTTCCTAATTCCTCTTCACGCATTTTCATTTAATTGTAAATATTAACTTGTTTCTTGTTCCGTTTTCTGTTGGTATTTTGTCTGGTCCGATTTTTCATCTCTTTCTCTTTGAAGTTTTTGATTCTTTGCCTTTTTAAATATAAAATATCAATATGTTAAATAATTTTCTGTACAAGTGCTTCAATTTTCCCTCCTTCCATTGTACTTAAATATCCCATATTGGTCCCATACTTTCTGTTTTATATATATTTTATTGACATTGGACATGCTTGTCCATATAAATACTTATAATATCATCCGATATTCGTGATAACCTTGTCCGGCACTCGCTTTTAATTCATTATACTCTGGCAACCTGGGACAAAACCCGGTGTCAGCCGTAAATGAAAACAAATAAAAATATTTCCAAGAAATCCGACCAATTCGCAGTGTAGTGGGGTCGCGTGGACAATGCCTTATCTATCACCCTCTGAACAGAGGAGGTTTGCCCAGCTGTGGGACATGTATAGCCTATACATACATTACTTTACATTTATAATACCTACTATCAATTGTCACGATTTTAATTTTCAAGTGAGCATGATTACGAATGACATTTGAGCCTTGTGCCAACTTGTTTACTTAGTTAACTTGTTTAGATGCAAATTAAACTTTTTTTATGTGGGTAAACGATGTTAAATGATAACCGCCGATCATGGACATTGGCAACAACCGTAGGGTTGCAGATGCGCTGACAGCTTTTAATAAATTAGGCCCCGGCTCTTCTACTTCACGTCGGTCTTCTGTATGGCCGTGATACTTATCCGGACGGACCTGCCCATTCTTGTAACAGCGAAGACTGCTTGGCCCTACCACAGTTAAAAATGATTGTCTGCAAATCTTAAATTGCCGAAGTTTTCACTTTAAATACACCATGTTTCCGCTCTATCTTGTTAAATGCATCCAACACTGCTGGAAACGGTAAGGGCAATGGGGAATTTCCTGGGTGCCGTGTCGAACCCTCATTAGATTTTTCTTATGAAGAAAAATAAAAATTAGGAATTAGGAACTACTGAAAACATGAGATGATGATTGTGATAACAGCATTTGCCTGCCATATGTTTATTATTGTACTGTGTTTATTTTCGGCAACAATTTTTAGGATTGACCATGTTTTTGCATGCTCCAACAAGTCAACGACATTGGCAAGTTACAGCGTTCTTTATACTTTCGGATGATACGGATGCGGAGATATCCTTATTGCCCTTTACCTTAATGCATATTATGTTTGTGTTCACTTTAACTTGAATTACCTTTGGCTTGTTTACTATTTCAAATATTTTCATTTTGCATTTCAGGTACGACTTCCTGATTGTGTCGCAGAAGGTCAACCAGGGCACTGTGACCCCAACACACTACGTGGTGGTGCACGATGACAGCGGAATGACCCCGGACCAGTGTCAGCGGATGACCTACAAGATGTGCCACCTGTATTACAACTGGCCAGGCACCGTCCGAGTGCCAGCACCTTGCCAATACGCCCACAAGTTGGCATATCTAGTCGGCCAGAACATCCACCAGCAGCCCTCCGAAAGCCTCACCGATAAACTTTTCTTCTTATAGTTTTTCAATCGCATAGATTTTCTTACTAGTATTATTTAGTACTAAGCAAATGTTGCCACATAGTACATACTAAAAGTGAGTATGTCTCTCAATTCGAGCTTCCAAGATGGCTATTGTTCAATTATAAGTTTTGATAAAACACAAATTTTGAAACTACTCTAAAAAGTACCTCCGAAAATAAGTGTAGTTAGTGTATCACTGAATACTTGATTAAATAGTAAGATTAAGTTTCAATAGAGAAACCCACCTATTTCATTTTGATTTGTTTAGAATAAGCCATTTAGTATAAGAAGTGTAACTTGTGATAGCATTTTCTAATGTCATCTATGATTAGGTTATGCATAAAGTGATTTTAAGAATTTAGTGTTAATAAGTGTTGGGCGATAAAATTTTTAATTTTGTTTGTTCATTACTATATAAAGATCATTCCAAATCGCAATAGTGATTGCACAACTGTCTGTCCCAATCTTTTTCTATAGAAAAAGATTTTCTTTTCAGTTGTCCCGATTTTTATTCAGAGGCTTGATGCAAAAATTCTCTGATGCGTTCTTTTATACTAGTAGTTACACGAGCATACTAATTTGCTTGAAAAAAATTATTTTAATGTACGTCCATGGCGATGGTGGCACTAAAAATTTTTAAGACTAAGAGCATTGAGAAGTAAATTCTTTTATAACAGTTCACATCGGGAAAATTACATAAACCCAGCGTGACATTTCAATATAATGGAATATAAACCTTAGTTAATACACCCTGTATTAACTATTAAGGCCGGACGCAAACGAGCCACGCACCACAGCCACCTTTGGCAGCCAATGGGCAGAAGACCGGCGTCAAGTGAAAGTATAATACTTTCGCGTTTCGTCTGGTGAGTGAGGTGGCCGGAGACCAATTTTCAAAAGGTTGTCAACGCATCTGGAACCCTCGGGTGTAGCAGATGTCCATGGGCGGCGGTATTCACTTAACATCACTTAACATCAAGTGAACCGTCTGATCGCTTGGCAACTTTTCACATAAAAAATAAATAAATTGTATAATGTTTAATGCTACATATTTTATAGGCACTCCGAACAATAATAGCAGTATTTATATCATATTCAAAACTGTAGATATATTTTTGCGTATTCCTTTTTTGAAAATAGCTCATGGAAAGCGTTCGGTGATGATGACGCGTGTTCTTTTGGTTTTTCTTCACCCAAAAAGTGCTCAACTTAGCAAGCTGAATGTTTCAATATAGCTTGTTGCTATATTGAAACATTCACAGCTATAAAACTATATACTTCTGGTAGCTGTGGTCGGTGGCCAATTTGCGCCGAGCCTTTAGCGTATATTCCAATATGCAAACGAACAGTCAATCAGATAGTGTTATAGATCACTGTCTGCATCAGCACTTACCCTCTAATCGGATTGAATAAATTTATCATAAATAAATACAGTTTCATTGAATGTCACTACATCGCTAGGAACATATCGGTATAATGTAAGAGTACCATTGTGTTTTGATTTGTGTTATAAATATCTTCGTAAAAGTTATATGAAGATAGTTTGTAATTTTCTCGACTGCTCTCAGAGAGGTCCTCAATATGTCATTTAATTAGCGATATACTTGTTCGTTTTTGTAGTTTCGTCTTGACTAATAAAAAAATCTCCACTTGACAATAATACCCATTTAACTTTAATCGACGTCTCCGAGTACGGCCTTTTACACATTTAATTAAGTACTATGGTGGCGTCTAACTTTATTTGTTATAATTTAGTAACGAATAGGTTCATTTATTGACAGAGATTAAATATTTTTTTGTTTTTTTTTGTTTTTTATATGTATAATAATAGATTGTCTAAAATTAGAAATGGGTTATTAACCCGTGAAACTTCCAATGCGACGTCCAACAAGGTTGCGTTAAACGTTTAGCGCTACCATGGACGGCGTATCTTAATAGTGTTGCGTTAAACGTTCAACGCTCCTGGGGAGGGGGAATAGAAAGAGACAGAGCGAGAGTGAATGCGTAGCACTCGAATTTGGACTCACGCACTATTTTATAATTTGTGTCTGTTTCTGGGTTACTAACCCAGTAACAGTCAGATACCCAGTATTAGACGCTAAAGTATACTTATTACCCACTACGTTTCGACATAGAAGGCATATTTTACTAACTCTTACAGTAATTTAGATCACAGGAAAACGAAAGTACAAATTTTTAAGTGTTTTCACTTTAAAAGTACTTATGTGCATTAAGAATATTTGGTTATTAATTTTTTTTCCAATAAAACGACGATAAGCAAAGTTAAATTTTTACAAATAAAAATATAAAATAAAATGCTCTAATAATGAAAGCTTACTTGAATCATAGATTCTTTTTATCGTTATAATTTTTGGAACAATTAATAAAACTTAAATTTCTGTAAAGATTTATTCTTAAGTTGTATTGGAGCATAAAACAAAGGCATAAGATTTATCGTTTTAATACAAACTTGAATGTATTACCGAAGCGAGGTAGATGTGTTATAAACTAGCTGGTGCCCGCGACTTCGTCTGCGCAGGATGAGTACTTCTAATAGCGTATTTTCTTCTCCAAGATCCTATCTATCTTTATACCAAAATTCATCAAAATTGGTAGTGCGGTTTAGTCGTGAAGACCCTTTTATCATTATAAATTTTAGTCTGTGTTATTCTCATTTATGAGCTATATTATTGTAAAGTTTCATCCATTCAGTAGTTTTTGCGCGAAAGGGTAACAAACATCCATACATTCAAACTTTCGCGTTTATAATATTAGGCCGTATCAAGCTATTGGGAGAACCCAAAAGCCAGAAGGCTAGTCCACAAGTTCTGCGTTCGATGCAGCTTTAATTGTCTACGGACTGAAAGCAAAAACATCAGAACAAATGTATCCATCAATTTATGTTATCTCTCAGACTTTTTAAATCCTCATATTGTTTTGTTAAATGTTTTCAAGTTAAAACTAATAATTAAAATACTTTATGATGTATTCCTGAATTGTATAATAGTGTTTGCTACCATCACACACACCACACGGCCATAAAGCAGACCGAAGTTAAGTGAAATAATTATACTTTGGTGGTTTGTCTGGTGAGTGAGGTATGGCCCACTTTTGGCAACGCATCTGCATTCTGTCCAGTGTTGTAACGTCCATACGTCAATCCACATCAGGTTGGCAAGTGGACGCTTGCGTACTTTTCACATAAAAAAAATTCAAACAATTTACATGTACACATGTGTTCTCATTTTTCGTAGTTTTTTTTAAAGCTGCACTAGGAGATAAGTCGTGAGTCGCGAAGGATTTATTTTTTACGAATGTTAAATGTCTGATATTCGCAAATTACACCCAGATTTGGAAGAACTGTTTATGTGTTATAACAAATGCTTGTATTGAATCAGTCAGAGCGCAGCTTGTTTTAATATGTAACGGAAATAACAAATGCAAAGTGAAATTGTGATGATTAGTTTCCTAGTTTGCTGCAATTTCCGATAATGTAAACCGCACCTACATTTGTGTACATTTATACTTTTATAACATTAAAAATCAATTAATTTCATATTTTGTTTATCTGATTTTTGTTACGTAATTATTTTGCGTGAGATTACATACGAGCATAAAATATCACTGTAAACGTTATTGACTGTTCACTTTGCGCTTTTTAAGTGATATATAATCATTAATTCTAAACGATAAATTCAGTTATATTTACAATAGAGAGGCACGAAATTGTGAAGAGAAGCGGCATAAGTGGCAAGTTATTTTTTTTTTTTGCGATACAATTAGATCATAGGTTTTTCATTTTCCGATGCACAAGAGACCTATTTCATAATTTGTCTAGAAAATTTACTACATCAATGGTTATATTATGAAGGAGAAAGGAGTGACAAAATAGATCTGCTCCTATATTGCGAATTATTTAAGCGATATTCGTTTGTGTGATTTCGTCATTTGTGATCACGATTTAGATTATAATTAAGTTGGTTTGTATGGGTATACAAAATTGAAGCTGTTATTTTCTTACACATTTTTAAAAAAAATAAATCCGTAAACATATATATAATGGTTTTCTTGAATGCGACCTGTATTCGAAATCATCTTTCGGGCATAGAATGTTCAGAAAGTAATATAACCAATAGAAGCAATATACATTGTCAAGGCTCCGGAAATTTATATATACCACACCAAAAATACTCAACGTGAAGCATAACGTTGGTGCCACTGGTAAAAACTAAATATGTATACGCTCAATGGTTCATTGAATTATGTCTACTACGAAATTGTAAAATTAGGTATGCGCGTTTCCGTCAATACTTTGTATTCATGGTTAAAAATATGTATACAACTAAAATTTCATCTCAGTATACAAAATAATTAAATTGATTCAATTCTGGCTAAAGTTGTTCGTTCCCTTTAAATAACATAGGCTGTTAAGTAATCGATAAGGTTCAGGCTAGGCGCCTCGTGCGCCAGGCCAGCTCAAGTCCGTCGGAACTGTAAAGGCCCTTAAGGCCAACAGTGGCTCATCCACCCCAAAAAAAAAAAAAATAATCGATCTAAGATTTTTAATGGCATCGAGAACCGAATATTTTTTTCCGTTCAGTATTCCCTCTATATGTTATATCAAACATCGCATTTAAAGGTTTCAGGTCAATTAGAAAACGGCACTAAAATATTTTGAGGAACGGAAAAAGACATTTGTTTAGCTTTAATTGTATTTTATTTTAAATTTTTTTACATTTTTAACATGTTTAATACGCATTAGAACAAATATTACGAATACCTGCTTCCTGAAATAAAAAAAAAAACTTCATTCGTTTCATTCACTTAAAAAATTAGTTTAGAAGCGTGTAGCCGCTTTTCCGCTTCAATAATTTCCTGTACACGTTCATGAATCGATCCCACTACATTATCGAATATAGAACTACCCCTAAAGGACATCCACAGCTCAAAGGTATGTTCGCGCTAAGTAGAGATGACGGTCCTTGAGAGAGACAA